GATCAAAACGGCGAAAAGTCTTAAAATAAGAAAGTTCTTTTCTGATTGGTTAGTTTTTGACCAATGAAATCTCGGCCAAAAAAATGGCCTTCGGATTCAAATTCAGCGCTCTCGATAACCTATAGCAGAGTTCGATCAAAACGGCCAAAAGTCTCAAAATAAAAAAAAGTTCGTTTCTGATTGGCCGGTTCCTGACCAATGAAATCTCGGCCAAAAAAATGGGCTTCGGATTCAGATTCAGGGCCCTCGATAACCTATAGCACAGTTCGATCAAAACGGCGAAAAGTCTTAAAATAAGAAAGTTCGTTTTTGATTGGTCAGTTCCTGACCAATGAAACCTCGGCCACCGAAACGGGCAATGGATTCGGATTCAGGGCCCTCGATAACCTATGGCAAAGTTCACTCAAAACGACCAAAAGTCTTAAAATAAGAAAGTTCGTTTTTGATTGGTCAGTTCCTGACCAATGAAACCTCGGCCACCGAAACGGGCAATGGATTCGGATTCAGGGCCCTCGATAACCTATAGCAAAGTTCCATCAAAAAGGTCAAAAGCCTTTAAAATAAGAAATTTCGTTTCTGATTGGTCGGTTTTCAACTAATGAGACCTCGGCCACCGAAATGGGCAATGGATTCGGATTCAGGCCCCTCGATAACCTATGGCAAAGTTCACTCAAAACGACCAAAAGTCTTAAAATAAGCTAACCTCTTTGGTATGTTCTTTTGACCCTGACACATACATACATACAAACTATTTTTTTTCATATGACCCTCCTTTCAGTCGAGGGAATAATATGAAATCCGATCAATACCAAATTCCATCGAATCCTAACAATTCACTACTGTATTGGTGTTGAAACATGCCTCCTTTTAAGATTCCAAAGGATTTTTAATGATTTCTATAGATTTCTAAAGATTTCTAAAGATTTCTATAGATTTTTAAAGATTTTCAGAGATTTCTAAAGATTTTTAAAGGTTTCTAAAGATTTCAAGGGTTAAAATCTGCTTTTCCCCCTTGACCCACACCTGCACTAGGTATGCACCAGTTCCAGTCCTGACTGAGATCCAGTTACTGGAACTGGTGCACACCTAACTCACACTCACCCACACACCCACACACCCACACACCCACACACCCACACACCCAC